AAAAAAAAAACGGCCCTGCACACCTTTTCGGCCCAAGCGCACATATCCCACCCCCTCTCTTATCCCCAGGCGTTTCCCTTCCGTCTCCGCCCTGCCCACTCATGGCGGTCCGTCCGAGTAAGCGACCGCAAAGGCGTCCAGCCGCAGGCGTGCCTCTGTGTGGAAGCCGCGTTCACGGCCGAGTCGCTCTCGTCGCTGTGGTTCTCCGGGGCGGCGGCCTGAAACGATAGCCGGGCAAAGAAAGCACCGCCTACGCGACGGCCAACAGGTGTCCCAGAAAACCCTGCCGCCACAGCCCCGATTCAACACGACGGCTCGGCAGCTCTGGCACCTTCTTCTCTGGCTCCTCCTTCTCCGCGGTCACCGCCCTCCGCAGCTTCTCCGCCTTCGAGGCGGCTGCCGGGTCAGGCGGAAAAGCCCGACGCGAATGCAAGACAAAGGCGTCGGCCATCCATATGATCGTCTCCGAAGCAGCAGTGCACGTCAACCGATGTCACCTAGCCCCTTCGCACAAACAAGCCGGCGCCTCGATGAGCTCATCCAGCGTCATGGCGAGCTGCGCCTCCACGCAAGGAGCATAGCTACGCAACCCGTCATGACCCGGACAAAAGCGCAAGAAAAGCCGGTGCCTGCACACGGAGGCGTTTGCACGGCATCATATTGGCATACTTCGAGCCACAGCAGCGTTCTCCAAGCCCGCATCGTGTTTGGTGTGTGATCTCCGTCTCCATGCCTGTATTTCGTTTTGGTGTGTGGAGACCCATCTCGTTCTCGAGAGGTCTTCCTAGCTCGTTTGACAAGCTAAACATGTCATGAACCAAACCATAGCAAAGAAATGGCGCATTTGATGCCCATCTCGTTTTCGGGGTGTTCCTACCTCGTTTGGCCAACTAACTCTGACATTGGGCTATAGAAAAGGAACGCCCCGAGACCAATCACCACTACCGCAAATAGAAGCCGTTGCTGATATGCTCTCGAAATGTTCAGAAAGGTTCTGAGGGAAACAACCTCGCCCCATGGCTCAGATCATCGGTGAGCATAGAATCGGAGCATCATAGGGTTTAAACTCTCCTGAAACCAGAGGAGACTCAGGAAGACGTTCCCCAAAAGAGAATAGACGTGGTTCACAAAACAAACTCTAGGTATGTATCCCTTCGGGGAATACCTTTCGTGATTAGAATTTCATAGGTACTCTGTCTGAATGTTCAAGAGGGTTTCAACTATCCTGAAATCATGAGAAGCTCACGAAGACGTTCTCCAGGAGAGAATTGAATTAAGAGGCTCACGAAGACGTTCCCCAGGAGAGAATTAATAAACGTGGTTCACAAAACAAACTCTAGGTACGAGCGGAAGCGGTTTCTTACCCCAACACCTATTACCTACCCCACCCCAATGGCACAACGAGTTACCCCAGGGAACCAAAAGTTACCCCACACATCCAAACCCCATGGCACAGCGGTTCTTATGTCCTGTGTTTCTTCTTGCATTGTATCCTAAAACTATGTAGTTCCCTTGCGCTTTCAATGTGTGGGATTGACCATTATGAACATCTTTGACCCCAGAAGTTTGTAAGATCACCATGGCACACCTTGTTTCACCCCAGTCGAGGCGCCTTCCCAAACCACGCCGCCCTTGCAAATGGTTTTCCTATTTCTTTGGAAGTGAAACGTACCGGTGAGATCTGTTGGACACCCAGCTCTTCAGCCACATGTCTCTGGTGTGAGGCTTCATCAACACTCGTGATGAAACAATTTCATGTTGCACCAAACTTGACAATGGCTTCGCCTTGGTGCATTTTGCTTTCAACTGACCGACGTAAAACTTGACCGCCGGCATTGCGCCCTCCCGCAAGCTAGCCTTAAAATGGCCCAAGATGTAATTGCAAACATCTTCTGGGTTGTCAAGGTCAAACTCACAGTTTTCTTCTGCTTCTGCCTGCTTCCCTTGAGCTTCTGGAGCTTTTGCTGTTGCAGCTGGGGCCGTGCTTGGAGCAGCCTGTGGCCCCTTGGTCTGTAGCGCCGGTGTGGCAGGCACAACTTGGGGCGCAGGGGTTGTGGGAGCAGGAGTTGGCGGGGTAGGAGCTGGTGTTGTGGGCGCACTTTCATCTTTGGATGGGGCTCTCATCTTGCTGAGCATATCGCCCCAAACCTTGACCAAATGTTTTTTGCAAGCAGGTTCAAAGTCTAAAGCATCTTGCAAATCCACCAAGGCGGTCGCTTTTCGCCGATAACCCTGTTGGCGGGCACCTGCGTCCACTGCCTGCGCTATGGGATCGAAAGATTCATTCTTTGCACCGCATGTGGGACAGAACTGATGTCCAGGTTGCACAAGGCCACGGCATTTGGCCGACGAACATCGCACGCTATCAGGCGCTCTCTTGTAGCCCTTGGGCGGTGAAAGAACTTTGTCTGCGCAGTCACTCACATAGTTCCTCTCCTGCTTGGGCACCGTTTTGCGAAAGAGGTGTGGTCCTCGTTCGAGAAGGACCTTCTCCCGACACAAAGGCTTCCCAAGAGTCATCCCAACACTAGCAAAGCCCTTGAGCACATTCTGTGAAGAATACGCTTTGTCCCAGCACTCATGACAGGCGTCCAACGCCTGCAGCGTCGAAAAGTTGCTTTGTTTTGACCGGCATTCACTCCACGCACGTTCGAATTCTCTGTTTGGGGCCTGGTCAAGTGGCATCAAAGCTGCCGTGTGGTAAGGAGCTAAATAGAAAGGTCGGCAACGATACTTTGCCGACAAAACGCCCACCTCTGTCGCAAAATGCGACATGCTCCCTCCACCCGAATCCATGATGATCACGACTTCTTCATCCATTGAAACGTTGCCTTCACTGCGTTGCCTTCACTGCGTCATCTGCGCCACGCTCTTCACATACCTTCTGAGACACTTGGCACACAAAACTCAAGACACCGTGTGTTCGAAGCAAGCTCTCTGACCTGCTTGTGCGTAACAAGCGGCAAGCCTTGAAGCAAGCTGAACACTGACCTCCTGTCACAGTCCTGCGTGTTCCTTTGTGTCCTGCTTGCTTGTAGAGCCAAGCACATTCATGCTTCGCCCTGCCACAAACAAAACACGTGAAGACTGCGTCGTTGACCGTGCCAGGTGCCGTGCTAGTGTTACCTGCTGACTTCTTTACAAGGTCTACCTTCTTGAACACCGCCACGTGGCTCTCACGGAGGCACTTTGCCAAAGCTGCAGCTCTTTGCAACTTCCCATCCTAAAAGAATGCAAACAAAGCTCTGCTCGCATCCATAGAAAACAAAAACCAGCCGCACATGACAATGTCTGCCGGAAAATGAAAACCTTTTGACGTATATAGATATATATATATACACATAATAGTTTTATACATATATATATACAGTATTTGAAACACCAATACAGAACTTAGAAACTGCAAAGGTGATAGTAAGCTATTCTGAGCAACCTTCCTAGTCTTCTCAGGAGTGCTTCTGCCAAACTCAGTGTGCTTTCGCTTTGCAGGAGTCTCCATGGCAGTAGCTTGACCCAGCCACGTGTAAACTTGAGCTCCAGTTGCTACAACCATGCTTTCACACACGGCATGGTATCATGCCACAAGTGAGGGGTACCAGAGAAGAACGAGTTTGATTAATCTCTCAGGTGGCACCAAGTGTGCCTTCTGGATGAATTCTAATGAACAAACCTTCTGTTTGAAGTGCTCATTTATTCTTTGAGGCATCTTTCCTATTTGCCCACAGTAGATCCTAAGTTGGATGGAAACTACATCTAGCATCCTGCGCGCCCTTGTGTTTAAGATCTCTAGTACTGCAAGACTGTCGATCATCTTCGAGATGAGATATGTACAGTAGTTTCCTTCGACCAAGGGCACACCAACATGAGACAACTAAAGGGTGCCCGAGACAAGAAACAACCTTGACCCAGTATGTATCCCCTCGGGGAACATCTGTCGTGATTAGAATTTCATACGCACTCTTTTTGAATGTTCAAGAGGGTTTCAACTATCCTGAAATCATGAGAGGCTCACGAAGACGTGCTCCAGGAGAGAATTGAATTAAAGGGCCCTAGGAGAGAATAAAATAAACTCTAGGTGTGCATTCCCCTCGGAGAACACCTTGCGACCCTTTCGGGGAACACTGAGACGCTTACGACGACGGTCTCCAGGAGAGAATGGTATTTTAACGAGAACACATTTCGTAATTAGAATTTCATATGCACTCTTTCTGAATGTTCAAGAGGGTTTCAACTATCCTGAAATCATAAGAGGCTCACGAAGATGTTCTCCAGCGGAGAATTGAATTTATAGGGGGGGGGGGGGGGGTATTTGAAAAAAAAAATCCCACGGGGGGGGGGGGTCTGTATTGAAAAATCAATAGAGGGGGGGGGGGGGTTGAATTGAATGATCAATTAT